AGTTCTAGGTCAGAATGATCTAAAGAGCAAATTCCAGGATAGCCAGTACTACATAGAGAATCCAATCTCAAAAACAAACACACACAGAAAGACACTTCTACATGCAAGCATACACATGTGAATGAGTACCCCATATGCGTATATATACACATCCACATAAAAGCACCTATCTCATACACACAAACACTAGAAAACAAGTATTCTGAAAAATAAGAAGCACAGCTGTCTTAGTTAGGATTTCTGTTGCTGCAATTAAACATCATAACCAAAAAGCAGGTTGTGGAGGAAACGATTTATTTGGCTTACACTTCCATCTCACTGTTCACCACTAAAGGCCAAAATTGGGACAGGAACTCAAGCAGGGCAGGAACCTGGATGCAGGAGCTGACGCAGAGACATTGGTGAGGTGCAGTTTACTGGCTTGCTTCCCGTGGGTTGCTTTCTTATAGAACCCAAGACCATAAGCCCAGGGATGGCACCACCCACAATGCACTGGGCCCTCCCCCAGTGATCACTAATTGAGAAAATGCATTATAGCTGGATCTCATGGAGGCATTACCTCAACTAAGGCTCCTTCCTCTCTGATGATTCTAGCCTGTGTCAAGCTGACACCCAAACCCGGCCAGTACAACATCTTATATGAGGGCTTCAACCATAGCACCAAGTAGCTAACGCACTGGCTGTGAAAAACTATCCTCAGGACCATTTAGATCATGTGAAAGTTGAACTGGCCCAAAGGCCATGTAAAGTCCCCACTCTGGATTAGAAAACTTACATTCAGGTTGTCATTAGCTGGGTGTAAAGCATTACCCAGAAGGCCATTTGATTTTCTATATTTTCCAAGTTTCTGAGGGACAAGAACACTAAATTACCAGAGAAAACCTATGACTGGCCTAGTAGTGATGAGAACCCCTTGGATCCAGGTTGTCAACCATGGCCAGAGTTTCAGTGATGAGGCTGGCAGCCGCCTATGGTACCTCACACCTGTAAACCAGCACTTGGGAGGATTACTGCTAATTCCTGTCGAGCCTATGCTATATGGTAAATTCTAAGTCAGCCTGGGCTACAGAGTGAGACCCTGTCCCAAAAAACAAACTAACTAATAACGGGCTGAAGATACAGCGCAGCAGTTAAGAGCACTGGCTGCTCTTCCATTCAATTCCCAGCATTGACTCCAGCTCCAGGGAACGCAGCTCCTTCTGTGGCCTCCAAGGTACCCAAACTCGCATCCACATGTCCACACAAACATAACTTTAAAAAATAAACACATGCCAGATGGTGGTGTTACCCGCCTTTAATCCCAGCACTCAGGGGGAGGCAGAGATGACAGGCAGATCTTTGGCCAGCCTGGTCTATAGAGCGAGTTCCAAGACAGGCTCCAAAGCCACAGAGAAACCCTGCCTTGAAAAAAATAAAATAAAATAAAAACCCACAAAAATTTAAAAACAATTACAGCTATTTAGGAGGCTAAAAGGGAGGGAGGATCACAATATCAAAGCCAGCTTAGGCTACAGAGTACAAGCCAGCCAGTGTAAGTTAGAGAGACTGTCTCAAAATAAAAGTAAAAAAGATGGCTGAAAGCCAGGCAGTGGTGGCTGCTCATGTCTTTAATCCCAGTACTCAGGAGGAAGAGGCAAGGCGGATCTCTGAGTGTGAAGCCAGTTTGTTCTAGAGAGTAAGTTCCTGGACAGCCAAAGCTACCCTGTGTCGAAAATAAAACAACAAAAAGAGGGCTGGGGGCTACAGTCCGATGGTTAAACTACTTTCCAAGTATCTACAGGGCTTAAATCATAATACTGGAAAAAAGGAAGGTGGTACTGGGGCAGTGTTTGTGGGGGAAGAAGGAAGCAGAGAGAACAGCAAGGTAAGTAACAGACAATATAAGTTAACACTGAATTCGGACTTTGCCCTTACTGGGTTCTTGGGGCTGGGCTGTGTTTTACACAAAGTAGCACTGTGACCATCCATCTCACAGCCTTTATGAGACAGACGCTGCTTATATGCCAGATGAAGAGTTTATGTCCAGAGATGTTAAACCATTTGTCTACAGGAATTCAGCACTTGGCAGGTTGACTCTGAAGTCCGATCACCTCTGTGTATACTGTGTGTAAAGGAAAAGGGTAAACGGGGCGGTGGTGGCACACACCTTTAGTCCCAGCACTTAGGAGACAGAGGCAGGCGGATCTCTGTGAGTTCGAGGCCAGCCTGGTCTACAAGAGCTAGCTCCAGGACAGGCTCCAAAGCTATAGAGAAACCCTGTCTCGAAAAGCCAAAATAATAATAATAATAATAATAATAATAATAATAATAATAATAATAAAAGGGGTATGTGTGGTCCCTAAATACCACCCTGAAAATTTGGATTATGTTCCACAAGAGTCCATTGCTAAACAGTTCGGCAGGAAGAATGCCCTAATGTGTTTATTATTGATTATGGGTCTGCTGGAAAGACAGGAACACAGGCTCCCAGAAACTCCACAGGAGAGCAGGCAGCAGTTGGAGTAAGGAAAGACAGAAGAGAAGCCAAAACAGGGCAATAACGTTCACCTTTGCATTTACCCAATCAAGGATCTTCCTCAAAGGAAAAGTCAAACACCTTTGTAACAGGGAAAACAAAGAATCTTCCTCCAGTTCTAGTCAATCCATAGAACTTACGGTTAAGTGCCAAGTAGGTGTTTGTTAGGCCGTGCCCCAGGCGGCCTCTCTATTTCTCCTCTTCCAACGGTGGAGTCAAACTAGGGTTCATGGCTGGTTCCCACCACCCAGCATCTTGACGTATCCTCTCCTCCCCATTTCACTCATCTAATGAAGGTGAACAACCCTCCTTGCAGGTTAACATGAAAACCATAACACGCACTGCTGACTCGAACGTCAGTGAGTGTCCTATTATTGTAACACTATTTTTCACTTGACAGGTCTAGTTTTCAAGGTAAACAATATTTGGATGAGTTCAATTTAACTCCAGAAGTTTTTGACCAGAAGGTTCTAAACAGGGTGAAACACCAAGCCTCCTCCTCCAGCTAGAAGTACTTTTCTTTAAAGGAATCATTTAGGACGAAGAGACAGGAAGTCACATCCCCACCCTTCACTACCACCACGGTGGAGGGTCTGGAATTAGGGACAGCTCTAACGTAGGACATTTACTACGATGGGCCTGAACGTCATCTTCCTTTAGAGCACTGGTTCCCTACCTTCCTAATACCTGCGACCATAAGACCATATAATACAGTGCCATATGTTGTGGTGACCCCCAACTATAAAATTATTTTCGTTGCTACTTCAGAACAGTAATTTTGCTACTGTTATGAATCATGATGTGAATAGTTGTGCTTCCCGATGGTCTTAGGCAACCTGTGGCCTATCCCAAGGTGGGGGAGGGGGTGTCCGCGACCCACCTGTTGAGAACCGCTGCTCTAGAGCCAGTGTTATGAAAGGAGAATTGAGTTTCTGTCACTCTTGTGTAAGAAACTGTTGTCTCAACAGGCATGGCCTCTCACTGGGGGGGGGGGATCAGGGCCAGACACTTGTGCACGAACTTCAGATTTACAGGGCTACCTCTTGCTTTCCCAAACATTCCGTCTGGAAGGCACTGGACGTTCCAAGTTGGGAGGAACCTCCCACCAAACTGGCTTAGCAATTCCCCAGGAAGGCTCGACCCTCAGACCAACACCAAAACACAATGATTCCAAAGACCTTGGGGGAGGGGAGACGCTTTTCCACCTAACTTCCCCATGCACTGCCACCCGACAGGCCTAGGGTTGGGCCAGGGTAGAGGCTTGAAGACACTTTGCGCCGGCTAGTCAATCCTCAGGGGCTCGTCCTTCTAAATTACAGGGCTAGCTCAACGAGGTTAGAGGTAACCCAAGCAGAGGCAAACCACTGCGGTTTTTAAAGTCTTGTTTATGTCTGGGCCCCCGCGCCGAGTCGCAACTACAGGTAGACTCCCCTCTGACATGTCCGCCATCTGCTTGCATTTTCCCAGAGGCCTCGCAAGCCCTTCAAGACCCTCCGTTACCGGCTTCCCGGCTCAGGGCGGCCTCCATTCCGGCCTTTCAAGGCCCCTCAGTCAGCCCAGACCCGCGGCTCACCCTCGAGAGTCTCGCACTGTACCAGGTTGAGGTAGTCCGCCTGGCTGAGCACCCCGGCCTTCAGGCCGCGCACTAATCCCTCCAAATAGCCATTGTCCACGTTGAAATAAAGCTCCGGGAAGAACGACATGGCTGCGGCGGGGACGGCGGGGACGGCGGGGGGCGGCAGGACCAGAGAGCCCTGATCAGCCCGCACGCAACTCGACTCGGAGATCAGCTGACTCGGCGCCCGCAGAGGGCTGTCAAGTGCGTCAGGTGACGCAAAGCGTTTCACGTGACCACAGCAGGCGGGCTCTTAAATGTATCCAGCTTCCGGGCAGCCTGGCGCGCAAGAGTAGCTCAGGGATGAGCCGCTCGCGGTCCTCAGGGCGCCTGCGCACTAAGGCAAGGCTAGGCCTTGGACTCCTAGCAGAGAGCAAAGCAACGACGATGCTGGAAGTTGATCGCGTGGTGGCGCTAAAACCCTCAGAATTCGAGCAGGGGCCCTCAATTTAGTTTTCCCGAGTTAGGCGCTTCTGTCTGGCTCTGTCGGGGCCAACCAGGTAAAGGTGAGCATGTGTGCTGTTTCTTACGCTGCCGAGGCTGCCTTCTACCAGACGGAAACGAAGGTCCAGAGAAGGTTTTGAAACCAATGTTTAGCCACTAGCTAGACTTTACGTCCCGTAAACTGACCTGCGCCTGCTTTCCCTGCATTTGTCGCCCTAGAGTCTCTGGGGCTGGCGTGTGACCTCCCGCTATCTCTACAGAGGTCTGGTGCCTTAAAAAATCGCCCGTCTACGTGGCCCAGAAGATGGAGTATCCTAGACCCCGAGGTTATGGTGTGTGTAGTTCCGGCATAACGACGCCCCCTACCCTTCGGGGAACCCAGCAACCCATCGATAACCACATGCAAAATAACCACAGCTTTAGGATTGGTCCCATCCTTTATTCGCGTCCCTGCCTTTGCCCAGCATCCGTTGGCTAGGTGCGGCTGCAGAGATTCGTGGCAGTACCCAGTTTGCGACAGTAGCAAAAGGCGTTGAAGAAGCGGCAGTAGCACGTGGCGCACGGGTCGCAGCAAGGAACTTGCTGTCCCAGGCAGGACTCGTGCAGCCTTACACAGCGACGAGGAGAACGAGACTCGCGATTCTGTGGATCTAGCACCTGCATTCATAGGGGGACAAGAACGTCTGACCGCAGATTCAGGAAACATCTCCCACCCCGATCCCAATAGGATGGCAGTGGAGTGTGGGGCAGGGATGGTCCGGAAGTGGGGAGAGAGGGTGCTATCTGATGATCCCTACCTGCTACTTTATCCCTTTCCCTTAGGCGTTACCTCCGCCAAAGCTTCTGCCTTCCGCAGCAGAGCCTCTTCTGTTCGGTCTGCAGTTGTCCTCTTTGGGCCATTCAGACTTAGACCTGGGGCAGAGGATGTGAGGGCCACGCCCACCATGCACCAAGTACCCACCTCGCAGGGTTGGGATTGGGATTTGGGAACAAGGATTTAGCCCATACAGGCAGATTTGTGACCAGCAATTGTCCTAGTCCCACCCATCCCCCAACCTGACCATACTTACCTGGGAACTCTGGGAACAGGGCCTGGCCAGGCCTTCTGATGCCTTCCAGGGGTGCCAAGCCCATCTGGACCCCCAGCGTGGGAGGCAGTGCCAGCAGCATGGCACAGCTCAGCAGCATTACCGTCAGCATGGCCTGGCTCGGCAGGAAAACCCCCATTTAGTTTCTCCTCATCTTTAGAATACCCTACAAATGCTGAGAGAGACCCTCCCGGAAAGTCAGAATTCCTGCCTAGCCTTTGCACTTACCTTTGCTTGCTGATCCTCGTCCAGGGAGTTCCTGGCCACTTGTGCCTGAAGCTTATATGGCAGAGTCTAATAAAGGGCCTGCACGTGACTGATTTCTGCAGCCAGGGCCTGAGGGGCCCTCCCTGGAAAATGGAGACACAAGTTTGTCTTTCTCCCTAGAGCCTGAACCATTGAGAGAAGTACCTGTCCAATTTGACATAAGCCTCCAGGAACCAATTAAACTTTGGGAACAAAATAGGGTGTCCAGACCCCAAAATTTCCCTAAGAGCAGAACCTAGGGATGGGTCAGGCTAGAGCCATTAGCAATAATGAGGCAGGCGGCCCTGTGATCTTAATTTAATTTCTGGCCCCACAGATGTTCGCTTAGCCTCTTTATGGCATGTTGTTTCCTTTGTTCCAGGAACGTTGGTCAAGGACACCAAAGGGCCAGTGAGTGTCAGCAGGCAGGAGTGGAGTAAAAACCTAGACCCAAGGTTTCTTTGGAAGACAGGTCAAAAAAAGCTCTCCCAGCTAAAATCACACCTTCTGGCTCTACCTCCTCTTTCTCTTCTTTAAGACCCCACCCTTATTCCTGTCCCCAAGCTCCTTCCACCTAGGGCTCCTATAAACCAAGGGAACAGAACGCACTGTTCCCGGGTGGGCACACAGCTTTGAGTAAAAAGCTTTCAACCCGTCTGCTTCATTAGTGTTAATGGCAGCTCCCTTCCGCCCTAAACTGGCGGGTCTCTGCCCACGCCTGGTCTCATCAGCCTGAGAACATGGTGAGGGCTGCCCGTTGGTGGATGTAGCAGGACCCACGGGACCCTTGTTTTGTTTTTGAGATAGTGTCTTTCTATGTAAGACCAAGCAGGCCTCCAACTCACAGAAATCCACCTGCCTCTACCTCTTAAGGACTGGGATTAAAGGCATCCACCACCATGCTTGGTGGGGTTTTAATGTTGTCTTGTTGTTGTTATTGGTTTTGCCTGCATGTATATATGTCCACCACATGCATTCCTGGTGCCCAAGAAGGTCAGAAGAGGGTTTTTGGATCCCCTGGACCTGGAATTACAGATAGCTGTGAACCATCATGTAGGGGATAGAAACTGAGTCTGGGTCCTCTGCAAAAGCATGAAATGTTCTTCACCTGAGACAACTCTCTAGCCCCGTGGTGGACTTTTAAAAAAAACATTCACATGCCCATTTGGAAAGGAATACAGGTTGAATCACCTTGGAGATCCCAGTGCCCAAGGCAATGAGAAAAGATGAAAAAATATATCTGTCAGGATATATAGCCCGGCTCATCTGGACTCTTATGATCAGGTGGTTGCCTGAGGAAATCCAACCCCCAGGGGTAAACCAGCAAACTGCCCTCTGGCAGCCTTCATCTAGAGCACCCATCAATTAGTGTTTGGGTGCCAGCTTCAAGGGAAGGAGGTGTTCTGCAGAGAATGGGCCTACAGCAAGCAGACGGACAATGGCATCATGTTCTTCTGCAGGTGACTCAGGACAGTCCTCAGAGCTCAGAGTCTATGTTCTCCTGCCCAGGTTGGGGCATGAGGAGCTAGGGAAAGCGCCCCCCCATTAGGGCTTTCGGGGAGTAGTCCCTGAACTCACTCACCCTTGCTGCAAGGAGCAGCCCTTTGTTCTCTGCTGAGAATAGTGTAGACAGTCCCTGAGAAGGCCTGGCATTGAGACCTGTTAGGAAGCTAATCTGGAAGTTTGGTGCCCCACTTCAGGACTTTATCTTCTCTAGAGCAACAAAGGAAAGAACTCAGGGTGTATCCTAGCTGCGCCACTCGGAGCTCAAGAGCGGCAGCACATGACGTGCACATGAGGTCCTTTCCCGGGTCTTATTTATTTATTTATTTATTTTGTTTAGTTTTCTCGAGACAGGGTTTCTCTGTGTAGCCTGGGCTGTCCTGGAATTCACTCTGTAGAGTAGGTAGAGTAGGCTGACCTTGAATTTACAGAGATCTGCCTGCCTCTGCCTCCTGAATACAGGATTAACGGCCTGTGTCACCATACCGCCCAGCTAAATGGATACTTTTTATTTCCTAATTTATGTGTCTCGATCAGCTTCTCCATAAATTTATCTAATTGTTTATGTACTTTATTCTTATTTTTGAAGATGTTTATATTTTTATTTTATGTACATGAATGTGTTACCTTGTTGAGACCCTCTCTAAAGATAAAAAAATTAAGAAGACTAGAAAGATAATACAAAAGATCGTTTATGCCTATGTTTAGAAAAAGTGGCAGTGTATAGAGATGAGGATGAATAGAGCATAGAAATGTTTCACTCCAGATGTCAACTTTAAAAAAATAGTGACAGAAGTCGCATGCAGTGGCACTTACCTCTAATCCCACAAGTAGGAGAGGGGTCATGACTTAGAGGCCAGCCTGGACTACATTATAAAATGCTGGGTTTTTAAAAAGCTAAGTGTTGCCAGTCGGTGATGGCACACATCTTTAACCCCAGCACTCGGAAGGCAAGAGGCAGGCTGATCTCTGTGAGTTCCAGGATAGCCCGGTCTACATAAAGAGTTCTCAGACAGTAGTAACTACCTAGAGAGATCCTGTCTCAAAACAAACTTCAGTACACTAAGTACTTTGACTCAAGAATGTCCAAGGGCCTGTTTGGGCCAGTTTGGGCACCCACTTCAGGGAAGGCTTCCTAGGGGAGGAGACCTTTCTTTGCTCATGAAACTTGAGTAGGAGTTGAGTGTGGGCCAGTATAAGTTCCTTGAATTCATAACTGACACCCTGTTTACCCCTCAGTCTGGTTAACACTGCTTAATACATTCTCTGCCTCAAACCTGGTTCCTTCCCAAAGGCTCAGCCCAGTAAATAGTTGACTTTTTATCTTTCACCTGGGACTGGGAAGCCCACAGTCCTCCAAGGTTCAGCTAGTGAGTCATCAGCAAACATCTGTAGCCATCACCCCATTTTACAACTTCTGTGAGTGTGCATGGGCCCAGACGACCTGCCACAGCTGCACAGGAGGAGTCCAGAGGAGGAAATTAACATCCGTTCAGACCGTCACCCACTCCAGTCCCCTTTGCCTGCCAGTGCTGCCCTGAAGAGCCTGGGCTTCTTGCCGTAGTTCTCTGTGTATACATATATCTCTATCTATCTATCATCTATGAGAAAGGGAGAGTGATAAGTCTCCTGTTTGTGTGTGCAGGTGTGCACGTGCCCGTGGAGGCCCAACGATAAACTCTTCCTTGATCACTCCCCACCTCATTCACTGAGGCAGAGTCTCGACTGAACCCAGAGCTCACCCACATGCTAGTTTAGCTAGCCTATGTGCTCTGTGGATCCCAGGTCTCTGCCTTCCAAGCACTGAAGTTACAGGTGGATTGTCATGGGAACCCAGCACTTACATACGTGGGTTCTACATCTAAACTCTGGTCCTCATACTTGAATGGCAAGTTAACCACTGAGTTATCTCCCCAGCCCTTATGTATACTGATTTTTCAAATAAGCAATCTTTGGCCGGGCGATGGTGGCGCACGCCTTTAATCCCAGCACTCGGGAGGCAGAGGCAGGTGGATCTCTGTGAGTTCGAGACCAGCCTGGTCTACAGAGCTAGTTCCAGGACAGGTTCCAAAGCCACAGAGAAACCCTGTCTCGAAAAACCAAACCAAAAAAAAAAAGCAATCTTTGGTTTAACTCAATTTATTTATATTTATTTGGTGACAGGGTCTTCATGTAGCCCTGGTTGACCTGGAACTCCCTCTGTAGACCAGGTTGATCTCAGACCTCCTGCCTCTGCCTCCTGACCACTAGAATTAAAGGCATGTACCACCACCATATCTGGCTCTATTTTATTTTATTTTGGTTTTTTGAGACAGGGTTTCTCAGAAGTTATGGAGCCTGTTTTGGAACTCGCTCTGTAGACCAGTCTGGCCTTGAACTCACAGAGATGCACCTGTCTTAGCATCCCAAGTGCTGGGATTAAAGGCGAGAGCCACCACCATCCAGTCTTATTTTATTTATTTTTTTTAAATATTTATTTATTTATTGTGTATACAATATTCTGTCTGTGTATATGTCTGCAGGCCAGAAGAGGGCACCAGACCTCATTCCAGATGGTTATGAGCCACCATGTGGTTGCCGGAAATTGAACTCAGGACCTTTGGAAGAGCAGGCAATGCTCTTAACCACTGAGCCATCTCTCCAGCCCCCCTTATTTTATTTTTTGAGACAGGGTCTCACTGGATATCTCTGGTTAGCCTTGAATTCACAGAGATCTGCCTGCCTCTCTACCTCCCAGAAGCTGTGATAAAAGGTGTATGCCATCATGCCCAGCCTCAATTCAATTTTTGATTCAATGTTTCTTACAATCAGAATCTTCTGCCTTTCTAATGTGTCCTGTTTTCCTTATGATAGGGTTTGAGTATAATTTGTGTACTTCCCCAACCCAGATTCTTGTGATTAAATTTGAGCCCCCAGAGGGCGGTGCTGAGAGGCCTATCTTCTGAGACCCAGTAAATTCTTGTCTAGGGTTCTTATAGAAGGGGCAAGCCTGGCTCCACCCAGCTCTCTACTGCCTACTGCAGAGTTGACCCTGTGGGCCAGCCGCCCTGCTGCCATCTGTCACTGGGCTCTCGCCAGGTCTGTGATTCGCCACATAGCCTCTTCAGCCTTTAAGACTGTGAGTGAAATTAACCTTTTGGTTTTTAATAGAGTTTTAATTTATTCTTTTAGAACATCATACATATATGCAGCATGTTTGATCATATCCATCCTCTTATTCCCTGGGGAACCCCACTGGATCTTCCCTAACAAGTCCCCCTCAAAACATTTTTTAAAATAACCCAGATTCCAATTAGTGCTGCCTGAATGCATGTAACACCCCTGAAGAAAAATAATTCTTCTCTCTCCAGTAGCCATCAACTGCCAGGTCTCATGTAACCACTACTGTCTTGAACTCCTGATCCTCCTGCCTCTACTTCCCAAGTACTGAGATTAGAGCTACACCATTGTGCCCGGCTAAACTTTTTTAAAAAGATTTATTTATTTATTAAGTATACAATATTCTATCTGAATGTATGCCTGCAGGCCAGAAGAGGGCACCAGACCCCATTACAGATGGTTATGAGCCACCATGTGGTTGCTGGGAATTGAGTAGGTAATT